GAATTTGTAAGACAGACTCGGCACGCGCTAGCAAACGGTTAATTTCGAGAACTCGTTAAGGCCCCGTGTTGCGGCCTCAGGATCGAACGTCCCTAGTTCAGTGGAGAACTGTTTATTGCCAGCGTCCCTTGATTCGCGTACATCGGCATCACCTAGTCACCACTTGGGTGAACCTTGGTAAGGGTCAATATATCACCCTGAAGACAATGGGCATAAGGACTCAAATTACTTAGCATCCACTAATCCACCATCCATAGAAAGACGTCGAAGCTATCACACACTTCCAATATTATTCACAATCAATAGGAAGACATACACCCACGCAATAATTTTATCTTATCTCTAATCAGAACAATAATCTTCTAAAAATCCCACGAAGACAAGACAAGCATCACAACCAGACCATCAATCAGACAGTAACGCATCAAAACTCTTTAGTTCCACCATAACCAAGTTTAGCTCTATTAACACTTTGCATACGGGCACGGTTTTCAAAGTTTTTGAACGTGCAGCGTCAATTTGATAATTTACGAATGTTATTGATGCGACGGAACTTAATTTTGTAAATAAAAGATTGGCTAATTAATTACATATAATTTTATTCGTGACTTTTGTAAAAATAAAAAGTCCATTTTACTGATAATTAGTATCTAATTATTGCATGGTAACGTTCAAAGCAATCTCCTTTATGCAGAGCTACCTTACAAAAGCTTCAGACGTATCGGGGTAAAATGGGTAAAATGCAATAAAATAAAACACAAGTGAAAACTGATAAAATTAAAAAATAGGATATAATAAAGCGCAAGTTTCTTCAAAGTCACAAAATGCAGTTCATTGCAGTCTATCACGCAACTGAGGTTACAGTCTCTCGCTTTCAACGTTTGTTATTTTTCGGACTGTGATCATAGTTTTCTGCTTGCAGTGTGTTAATTTAGAGTAGGCCGCATCCCAGCAACATTGTCGTATCCGCGTAAACGGGCCTTACAACCCCATGAAACTCCCACCGTGCGAGTTGCAACATCCGGTGCTCTCGTTCGCAGGAAATCAAAACGCTTCTTCTTTCGCGTCGTTCCTCTTCGTACTTGGATCTCCTTCTTCGTTTTCCACGATTTATCTTGCTCCTCTGTTATCTCGCTCTCTTTTTTAAACGCTCACGCCACACGGCTCCGAAACGACTGGAAACAACGTTGCTACCAAAAGCAGCCCCGACACAAAGATTCGCCGTGCTTGGAGATCCGATCGAGCAGCGATTCCCTCAAATTAATCCCGGCATCGCCGGTTTCGCTACACTTCCCGCTTCTCCCTCGAGGCAAATTTCACGCTCGCTCGAATTCCTCCTGCCGAGTTTTCTCTCTCAGGGCTTTGCGAGCTTCTGTTCGACTTATTTCTCTCGTCGGGCTCTCTATTCCCGGGGAACGTAATGGACAGCGCGTTTACAGGTCTCGGTTAGGTCGAGCGTGTGAAAGAGAATCGTTCGTTGCAACAAAGCCCCAATAAAGCCGGTTTCGGGCCGGTTAAATGAAAGAGATATTACGCGTTACGTATGCGGCGGCCGTAGCCGCTGAAAAAGGGTGGCAAGATCGACGTAGCCTTTGTGAAGGGTACCTATCGATAGCTTTGTTGGCGGTGCATTTACGAACGTCGAGTGCAGGTAGCCTCTATCCTTGCAGGAATAGAGGCGTCGCGGCGCCGACCCCTGGGCGAAATGTCACGTCGGTCGCACGGCGACGACGGCGACGACTACCAACGCGGCTTCTCGCCTGGGACCGAAAAGGGAGAGACCGTTTCGCGAAAATTCCAGATGCAATTTTATGCCACGACGACGCGAGACCCATACGTGAAACGGAGGCCGAGATTGCTCTCGAGATCGAGTCGGATGATTCGGAACGCGTTTAACGCGTCAACCTGCCCGAATCTCACCGATCACGCTCGATGCCAGCCGGTTTGTTCCACGGGGAAAATTCGATTCGGTGACAATCTCGGCCTTCCTTTCCTTAAGACGTCCCCCTTTGTCGGCGACCTTCCACCCCGGCTGGTCGAGATCGTGGAAAAATAGCCGCGAACGCCCTCCTCGTCCAATTTAAACTCTTCCGACAATTTTTCCTACTCGTCCCTCGAATTTCCTTTACCCTTTTTTCCTCTCCCTTTCTTCCAATCGCGGTTGCTAATGGCTCGAGTTTTCCTCCGGCAGATATCAATCGGCGGAGCAGGGAACAAGTACTTCAACCCTTGCCTAACGACCCGATGTAATACCTCCGAGTGGTGAATTTTTATGCTTAAAGACACTCGATGCCCGAGCTGCCGCGTAATTTAAAGAAACAAATCGTCGTGGAAATACACAGACGCTCGGAATATCGGGTCGTGACGCGCATCGGGAGTGACCGATTACCCGTCAAACCGCGGTAATTACCATCGCGCGGTATTCCGCGAGCAGAGGCGCTTTGTTACGTGCCGCAATATTCATGAAGCCGTCGTTACGAAACGCGAACGATCCGCTCGCGAATAGCGTCAGTTTCTTCCTTCGGTCTCCGATAAAACGAGAAATTCCCTGTCCGCGTGGTATTTATTCCGAAACGATCTACCCCCGAACGAATTAAACGAGTTTCTCCACTCTCGAACCGTTTTCCTACAGGCCTCGACGATGCCACGAGGTATTCCACGAGGTATACACGCGCGATCACGCGAGAACAGCGCGCGAGATTCACCCTTGGAAAGATAGCAACGGGAGAAGGAAGAACGGGGTGGAGATCCGCGAGGTAAAAAATTAATCAGAAGTATCGAGCATTCCAGGCGGACGGGACGTTACGTAGAGGGCGAAAATATCGGGGGGACAAAAAGCGGATACTTTTACAAGCTTTACAAAGGGTAGAGCAAGGGGTGGAGAGAGGCATCGATTTTCAGCCTTGAATTTACGATCCGCAACGGCGCAACTTTTCTGCGGTTCGTTCGTCACCCACCCTTTCACCCTTCCGGCCCCCCTGCCTTTTCTCTATTTCCCTTTTTCTCTCCTCGGAAAAGCCCGTTGTCCGGCGCGGACACGCGAAGCGCGGCAGGGTGGAACGCGCGCGATCAAGACAATACGCGACCCTTCGGCTGTCGAAGGAAAGAGACGCGGCGAGGTGCAGGGGGAGGGAGAGGGGTAGGTGGAAGAAAGGAAGAAAGATAGGGAAAAAATGGCCCGAGTAAATTCGAGGGAATATCGAGTTGGCAGATATCAATGGGAAGGACGGCCACGTGTGTCCGTGGACGGGGTCGAAACTCGGCCCAGATTCGGAATGTAGGTCGGGTCAGCTGCATCCGTGCATCCCCCGGGGTATGGCCGGGTGCTGCGGAGCGCGCACGTATTCGATGCACTTGCAGGCTCGGGACACGGTCATACGTGACAGCCGCAGCTGACCGTCACGCGTCGAATTTGAATTGATAATTCGGCGTAATTTCTCACCGACCCTGTTTTCATAAGGCCGTAATAACGGGGCGAGCGATTAATTACGCAGCCGTGGCCCCAAGTCGCGACGTATGAGCCGCTTGTCCGCCGTTTGACAATGATGGGTCGGCCGCTGCGACTTTCGCGAGCGGTACGCGGCCGGAAGCGCGCGTACTCGTGCTGGTGACAACGCCGGAAATTGTTCGCCGTGCGGATCGGGAATGTCGCGACTGGTCAAAGAGATTCCAGTCTCGTTTGTTCCTCGATGGGTAATCTTGGCGGAGTTCCGCGAGCGAGAAACTTGGACAATCGGGCTCGATTTTCCTCGTCGCGAGTCTCGAAGCCCGTCGAGATTACCTTTGTTACACCGTCGTTGGGTAACTCCAGAGTCCCGGTGGATCAATTTCTTCGACGTTTTAATAAACCAGTCGTTCCGACCCTCTCGGCGTGCATTCGCGTGCTAGCGTTCCTATCGCGTGTTCGAGACAGGGCGACGATGCGTTTCGCGCGCGGAATAAAGGGTTCGTCGCGTAATCGGCGAATTGGCGGCGGTTTATCGAAAGTTTGCGGAAAGGGTGGAGCAAGACACGGTTGGCGAGGCAAATGCCGTTTTCCAGTGCCTACGTAAACGGCAGCGGGGCCGGGGGGCGAGAGAAGAGGGTCGAAGGGAATCGAGGGCGGCGTATCGCGGCGGAATACTGCGAGGCAGCTTCAAAAGTTGCCAGTTAAACGACGGAGTTAACTTCGTTTCGTTGTTTGCGCGAACCGCAAATTTCCTCCAGTTACTCAGACCCGGAGCCCGGTGCCGTTATAATCACGCGGATGTACGTGTTACTGGGGCTCGAACAGCAGACAGAGAGGAGGGCCACCCGCTCGTCCTCGTTTGTCCCGCTTCTACTCGCGTGACAACTTGCTCTCGCCTTGCGTTTCATTCGCGATAAAGGACAGAGGGGAAACACTCTGCAACCGCTCCACCAACGGGTCGGGCTTCTATCTCTGCGAGCTGTTTCCTACACGTTCGGCTCTCCGTCTCGCAGCGGCAAGTCGCTTGAATAGAATTATATCGATAAGGGAGCCGCTTTCGGCTGAATAATCGAATTTAGGCTAGTAGACACCGAGTTCGACGGATACTCTTATCTCTCGCCTAACTCCCGCTTATTTTTTCGTCCACCGTTTAATCCGTCGTTTGATCTCTGATCGATGCTCGGGGTTTTCGGATACCGTGACAGGATCAGGGAAGTAGGTCGTGTCTTGTGCACTTGTGCCTTTACGGTTCCGATGACGCGGTGATCTAACGCATCGTTGATAGAAATTTTCAGATATATTCGAGATTTAATCGATCCCAGGCGACGGTTCGTTTCGGTGTCATCGGTAAAGGTTTCACGGTTTCGAAATAGGAGGAAGAGGTTAGGAAATTTATCGCGATTGATCGAGCTTCGCTCGTCGCCTGGGATTTCGAACGGGGCCGAAGAAACAGCGAAGCGATAGCGGAATTGTTCAGAGGCGATGAAGATCCGGATGTTTCTCCGCGCTTGCGAGGTAATTAAACACAGGCATTTACTCGATGGTGACTCACCTCCGGATTGCAGATCTTGTATTTCGTGCTCCACGATCTCCCTTTGTTTTTACTTTGTTTTCTCCTGCAACGCCGCTGCTGCCTGGAAATCCCACCGCCGCAGCTCCTGCGAAGTAGGGCGAGCATAATTAAAAAAAATAACGTACGAGGGGTTAACAAGGAGCGTGGGTGAAATTTCTGACACGGATGCCTTTCTTCCCCCTAGCCAGGAGCCCCGCGTTCGCGTGAACCGGCACGGATCGGGAGGAGCATGAACTGAACCTCGACCCAGCTGAAGATCTCGCGATAATGTAAAGCGTAATTTCGTTATTATGGCGCTTTTTTAAAAAAGGAACGTATTCAGCGCGAGGTATGCACTGCCGGCGTCTTCGTTGCCGTCTTCTCGCGGTGCAATTTCCACGGGCATGAAAGAACAGCGCGAAATTAGGACATGTAACCGGAAAATTCGAAGCACCGAGGAAAATCATACGGTTTCCTTGATCGCGAATGACTCGTTCCGAGAATTTAAGTGGCACTCGTGCCTCCGGTACACACGGGTCGCTAGCTCGCGGTCCTGACGTCGCTACTTAAAATTTGTTTCAAACATGGCCACGCTTTAAAGCATGAAAGCTCGGTACACGGAGAACACGTTGCACCGCGATAGTCGATTAAACGAAAAGATCTTTAATTTCGCGATAACGCAATTTTACGACCCGCTTTTCTTTCCTCCAATTTACTCGACGTTTAATACTAATTAACCGTTTGAGTGCGACGAAGTGCTATCTCGCTTCTCTCGTCTTGTGCTAAAAAATGCGTAGAAGCGCGATGGCGCTGCTGTTTGTTAACCACTTGCGATAGAAAAACGTGCCACGCACGTCGTGATGCTTTTGTTACCGGAACACCAGCGACGTGTTACACACGTCGTCAGGCGATTGTTGCAGAAAGAAAAATGACGTGCGTGGCACGACAACTGTTAATGAAATTCTTTACCCAGGCACAGTTTCTGCTTGCACTTCGTCGTGTAAAGTTATCAGTATTGACCCCGGACTGTAAAATGGAAAGTGATAGTGAAGCTGGTGATATTATTTTGCGCCCCGAAGTGATTTGCACTCGACTGTTCTGGCACATGCAACCGTGAATTTCTTTGCACCGAAAGTGGTTAATATAATTTTCGCATTAACACATTGCGTACTGGTGACGTGGTATCTCGTTTTCAGGTTTCTTCGACTGAATCGATGATTGAAGGAATTAAAAACAGATTTTCTTGTTACGTTACCAGGGTAACGAGGTCTAGGTATTCTTATTCTAATACCTTATGTGAATATAATACCAAATGCGAATTAAAAAAGTGCATATGTGCATCGTACAAAATGTTTCTGGATCGTCCAAAAAAGTGCGGATCCTGGAAGCAGAGTATCATACGCAATGTGTTAATTGAGGGCATTTGTATTTATATCAATTGCGGTTTTCATTAATATAATTCAATTGTAATTTAAATAAGATACTATAGTGGGTCACCGTTTGAATTGAATGATCGTTTTCATATGCTGTTCATTTTCAAACTCGTGGACCCTTACACACCCCAATCATCATTACACACCCCGATCTAATCCTCAATAAAGATTCGCAAGACCTCTAAAGATAGACAAATAATTGACTAGCATCCTTCTGAATCTTTACCTCCATCGAAAGACCCGAACCTCATATACTATTCCCTGCATCGAAGGATCGAGTCGATTTAATCCTTTGCACTCGGCGATCTTTTCATTACAGAAACATAGTAATTCGAAGACTTTCTGCCATAAAGTAGACGATATTTTCAAAACGGTAAATAAGAAGTGCAAATTAATTGTAAGACGTACAATTATTTTACATCCATATTCCACGTGTCGTTGGGCAATCTCAAATTCGAGATATTAACCCTTTGGACTCGAAGATTTCTTCGTTGCGAAGATGCAATTCGAAGCTCTTACATTTTTATAAGCTCACTGATACTCTTTATGCTAAAATTCAAAAAAGGAAATCGTGAATTTGAGTGAAAAACGAACGAATAGAATAATTTTATTTCGATGTTCGTAATATAATTATCATCATCCGTTATTTAAGTTATAGTATTAAAACAAACGGTGACTGATTGCGAGAGTCACCTCCCGAGTGCAAAGGGTTAATATATACGTTAACATATATGCAAAATAATTCTTCAGCACTCAAACAGTTAACGCTGAACACGTAAATAAGAAGTGCAAATTAATTGTAAGACGTACAATTATTTTACATCGATATTCCACGTGTCGTTGGGCAATCTCAAATTCGAGATATTAACCCTTTGGACTCGAAGATTTCTTCGTTGCGAAGATGCAATTCGAAGCTCTTACATTTTTATAAGCTCACTGATACTCTTTATGCTAAAATTCAAAAAAGGAAATCGTGAATTTGAGTGAAAAACGAACGAATAGAATAATTTTATTTCGATGTTCGTAATATAATTATCATAATCCGTTATTTAAGTTATAGTATTAAAACAAACGGTGACTGATTGCGAGAGTCACCTCCCGAGTGCAAAGGGTTAATATATATGTTAACAGATATGCAAAATAATTCTTCAGCACTCAAACAGTTAACGCTGAACACGTAAATAAGAAGTGCAAATTAATTGTAAGACGTACAATTATTTTACATCGATATTCCACGTGTCGTTGGGCAATCTCAAATTCGAGATATTAACCCCTTGGACTCGAAGATTTCTTCGTTGCGAAGATGCAATTCGAAGCTCTTCTTAGATTTTTATAAGCTCACTGATACTCTTTATGCTAAAATTCAAAAAAGGAAATCGTGAATTTGAGTGAAAAACGAACGAATAGAATAATTTTATTTCGATGTTCGTAATATAATTATCATCATCCGTTATTTAAGTTATAGTATTAAAACAAACGGTGATTGATTGCGAGAGTCACCTCTCGAGTGCAAAGGATTAATATATATGTTAATATATATGCAAGATAATTCTTCAGCACTCAAACAGTTAACGCTGAACACGATAAAGAAACGAATAACTATTATTCTTCTTTCGTTTCAACGAGTTTAGTATCAACCAGGTTCGATCAAACTGCATATTTAAAATTTACAGGTTACGTGGACCTAACTCGGTTTTATTTGCCGGTGCGCGGCGCGGATTTTTCGAAAGAGCAGCGAGTCGGAAGTGGACGCGTTCGGACGTTGACGGGGAGAAAGAGGTGGGAAAAAGGAAAAAATTTTTTTAATAATTGTATCGGGGTACGTGGACGAAGATTTAGAGGGCCGTGGCTGGCCGCGTCGAATGTACGGCACCGTACATCATACAATAAGCTTCTCCGGGAGGGCGAGTTCACCAGTGGTAAGCGTCATAAATTATTTGCTGGCGCAGTCTGGGCCGTTTCTGGTCGGCTGAAAAACGAGCTAGCCGGTCCGACGGCCGCCACCGGAACTCCACCGCTGTCGAAATGAGTTCCGCAACGGTTAACGTTCCAACAGCGTGTCGGCGCCGCGACGCGATACACGCTCCTTCGATCCGTCCCATCGCGAGATCGCGATCCCCGATTCGCTGCTGTCGCCACCGATTTTCAATTCGAATTTAAACGGAAATTCATCGCGAACGCTTCGTCGATCTTTTAATTCGCGGAAATCCTGATCCACTGGATCCGAAGATCGTACCGCATCGCAATTTTTCTAAGCTTCCATAACACCCCCGTCGTTTAATCCTTTGCGATCCAACCCGGGGCTCGACTACGCGTTTTAATTTAATTTATCTACCTCGCGATTAGTCCAAACGTACAATACCTTCGCGTACTTGCGCGTTCTAATTTAATTAAACGGACGTGAAAACGGCATTTCGACGTGTTCTCGCGGGACAAGGGGTTAATACGCTTTTAATTATTTACGCTAGGTATCTTGTAGGACAAATAGGAAAAATAATATGTAAATCTTCAGCGAAAAAAGACCTCGACATCCAGCCATGCGGGAATCACGCGATGAGTAACATACTGGTAAATAAGGAATATCGTAAACATGTAGGAATAATCGAGCCAGCCGCGTGATTTCGATTTTCAGAAATAGCGTGATCACGATGCAATTCCAACGACGACATTGGGATTTGTGATTTATATGCTGAGACGAAGAAACGTTCGATAAAGCGGTGACGTTATTAGGTCAGTGCAGACGTACATAGATAACCGGGGATCATGGTCACTCGCGAGAGAAGATGTGCAATAATCTGCACTCGTTGTAACCGTGATAACGCGAATTATCGTTCTTTATGTCATTCGGCTGGTTTCGTAACTGTCGATGAATCAGCGGCATGAGCAACGGAGACGATGACGTTCGCGAAGACGATGAGTTAGGCTTGTTTTGGCTGTCGCGAACGATAACGGAGAACGGTAATAATTCTGGGTATTTACGCGAGACACTTGGTTCGTATCACGCAATGTCGAAGAAAATCTGCGAATTAACTTACCTCGAACAGCTGGACCATTCGCCGCACGTGAGGTTCTGCAAGCAGAGAAGGAATTATCAGGTGATTAGGGTTGTTTGCAACGCGCGATAATGTTTATCATGCAAGGAAAAATTCCACGTTCGATTATTCGGCGCGACGAATTAATCGCAGGTCAAATCGCATTATTTCTCGGATTTTATTTTAGTTAATTATATCAGTTAACTAAATTAATACGAAATTATGGAATTTATACGATAATAATATCTTAACACGTTAAGTGCCCAGTCTGTTTTGCTTTCGTTCAGGCCTAGACTCGGCTGTCAAGTAGGCCTTCTACGGAAGGCGAAGTGTTCATAAAACTCGGAAATACTGTGCCAACTGCTATAACAGGGATTCCCAAGCGTTAGGTCCAAAGATGGTGAAGAATTTAACACTAAAAGTTAGCACCTTTTAGTTCTAGTCTGGGCTCGAATGGAAAGTTCCCTAGGGATCCCTAGGGACCGGCGTGGCACTTAACGCGTTAACCCTTTGCACTCGACGATTTTTTGGCTAAAGCAGAATAGGAGTTCAAAGATTTTCTGTTACAAAGCTGACGATATTTTTCTGAACAGTGAATAAGAAGTATGATAATTAACACGTAGATACCTTGCACACCGTTACATTATCTGAAATTTGACATATTAACCCTTTCGCTACGGCAAGATGGAAGATGGAAGCATTACACGCGTGCAGTCTTTAGCATTCGGGGCCAAGTCTCTCGAAAAAAAGAAAAAAATGAGAAAAGAAAAACCGACTATTGTAATAACACAATTCTTTGCGAAGAGAGCTAAGCACATATCTTAATTTTTGTGACCGTCACCCATCGTCGACTATAGTCACATCGTGACGTCTCGTAGTCGATGACTATAGTCGCCCTTAGTAGCGAGAGGGTTAATGAATATCGAGCTTTGAAATTTTATTAAATGAAGGGCGCCTCTCGAGCGCAAAGGGTTAATTAATCGGACGCCCTCTTCTCGTTGAATTTTTAACAAAATTCGAATTCTGATAAAAATTTAAAACGCAGACCGCTGCACGGAAATATTCACCAGGTAATCGAGTTAGCCTTCGCGAAATCCGCGCAATGACAAATCTGCGCGTTTGAGCGAATTTGTTAAATGTTTCTCCTCCATGATGCGTTTACGGTGTTCTCTCGATAAACGATTATTACTCCGGTCGATCACGGAGACTAATCCAAGGAACCTTTACTTTCAGATCACGCTTGATAAATCGCGAAGGGACGACGCGACGGATGACGAGGTTTCATCGAGCGTCGTATTAAAGATGGGAAAAATGGGAAAATCCGGAGATCTTGAACCGTGGGTGATTAAACGAGAATTAAATGTCAGCGTAAAGAGAACCTCTGAATTATGAAATATTCTTCAAATTTGGGAAGACGTTGCATCGATGAACCGTCATGGGCATAAAGAGGGTTGCAATTCTTAGAAGTAGAAATGTAGGATATTAGGAATGTAGGTGTGACAGTGAGTGCAAGGGAATGCTTGGATCAATCTGGCTAATGATGGATAATAATCAGCAACCTCGGGTTCAATGGTTAGGATGGTTAGGGTGATATCTGGATTATATAGACTGGATGTTTATGAGTGATCATGAAAAGATTCCTACGCGTGAAAGAAGAGAGACTGCTAGGTTTAACTGTTTGCGGCACAGAATTTCAGATAATGAAATCGACCCATGTTGCATAGAAATTTTATTGCGTTTAAATTAAATAAAATTTGTATATTTTTACTAATAAAGGAATCGCATAATGTAAAAACATAAAACCAGGAAAAAAGATGGTTGCTGTAGCGTCCTACGGTATCGAATCCCTTCGATTTCCAAGAACGCTTATCACGCGCCAATTTAATATTGCGTGACTAGTTGAAATAATAAGGATCCAAAATGTGTGTGGTCAAAGAGAGTGTTTATTTAGAGAAAAGTGTGGAATAGTTATATTGGGACGTTAACGGAGTACCGTTTCGAACACGCGTTTGTATGAGCAATTTAGATGTTTGAAGGATTGGTGCCGAAGACGAACTGACTCGTCGATTTTGCTGTAAGTCCTGTCTCGTCGTGTTCGGTCCGGAGTTTTGTCTAGTTTAGTTCTGATTGGGTAAAATAGATGTTGGTGGTGGAAAGGTAAGGAGTTTTAATTGGACAGAGGGTGTGACATAAGGACCTTTGGCTAAGGAGTAGGAAACTGTCAAGGAGCCGATTTCTGATGGTCGATGACGTGATTTATAAGTGTCGTCCGTCCGTCGCTTGTTGGGTCTGTCACAAGTGGGTCCCATCTGTCGCGTCTGGTTTCTAGTAAAATACCTAATTTTGCTTTACCTTTGTACGCTTAATCCGCTAGAACGGCGTTGAGGCACATCGAACCTCCGGAATTGCAGTCGCGGTATAAAATATAAAATAGACCGTTAGGTCTGGCAAAAGTGTAAGCCTTAGAATAAAATTATGTTATAAACACGCTCTCCGGGACGGAACAGTTGCAATAAAACTTGCGCTTGCAACAATTGATAAACCTGTACTGGCACGTTGAATGTTGCCAAAAACGAATACATTTATAACATTTGTAAACCTATGCGCATATAGCTATTGCAATATTTTCAGGTGGGACTAAAAATATCCCACTATGCATTATGGTGCATGAAAAAGATTGGATACTTTTAATCTCAGCGTGCCTCAAAGAGTTAAATAAGGGTGCAAGGGCTGCCTTGAGACAGTCCTTTACGAAATTTTTAGCGAGGATTGAGTCGGTCGGTTACGTAATCATAGTTATCAGTCTAGTCTCTTTTAATTTATACTTTACTCCTAGTCGATATATATTTTAGAATAAATATTTTGTTACAGATCGCACTTCTCTTCTACGATCTCTTCTACGACTTCGATCGCTGAACTACCGAAAGATTCCAAATGTACACGACGTACAATTAGAATCACCCTATTCAACGCTGTCAACTTTACTCGCTGAACTTTGATGAAAGACGCCCAGTTGGAAGTCCCCGCCCGAATATTCTGGATTACCATTTTCCGGAAGTTACAGTTCGCTCTTGATACTACGTCGAGTACAGGATGGATACGAGAAACTGGTAACGATATAATATATACCTTATTCTTTATATTTGCCAATCGAACGGTATCCCTACAAAAATGGCGTACTTACAAACTAGTCGCTTAAACCACCCCGCGAACGTGTTTCGCGGAGAGAAAAATGGCGCACGTTGGACGCGCGATTCGACGTATTTGGAAACGCGTCTCTAGAATCCGGCAGAACGGAGCTCGGTGCCGATAAAAGTGCCACCGTAAGAACGTCGATATATCAAAGTATTTAGCGTCTTTCCGAGCGGTGGAAACAGAAAAATCTCGTCCGTGGGGCGGACAGGGGCTGGCTTGCACATCGATATCCCTCTCGGAGCAATAAGTTCGCCGCGAGACGTGATAAAAATTTCGGCAGCCTCGTATAGCGAAATGCTCGGCACGTTCGCAGCCGAACCGAGCGGATTTCGAAAATTCACTTTTACCAGTCGGCTCGGAGCTCGTCGAGCTGAATGCCACACGCTTGATATTTCGCGTCGCGGAGGCGTTACCGCGATCGCCGCTTAAAGAATCCGTAGAAACGGGTCGGGGAAGATCGACGGGGCGTCGCGATGGATTAAACGGATTTATCGTTTCATCTGCTTTTTTTATTTCCCAATTTCTCCTACTTTTTTCCCCTCCTTTTTCAATCTCCCTTTGCGCGAAAACGTTCGATTTTGCCGGTGCTTGTAATTTCGCGATATTACGAAGGGGAGGAGGGGCACGGGGATAACCGGTGATTTAATATCGGCGAGTATGTCATCGAACGCGGTACGCTACGTTTAGTACTTCGGTGGGAGATATTTTTAGCTTTTCCACTTGTTTCTCGCCGGGATAGGAAATACGCGCGTCACGTCCTGCGATCGCGGAGGGCTTAACAAATACGGGCCCGTTCATCCTTTTCCCTTCGTAACGAAGTTCGTTTTGTTATTGCCCTCGATTGTTTCGAGGGGTGGACCGTGAGGGTTTTCAATTTTTGAGGAACGCCGGTGTACGTCCTCCGCAATTTCTACCCTCTAACGAGAAATTCGAACCGTCACGCGCGGTCCACGCGCTCGGCCGCAAGGAAACAAAATAAAAATAAAGGAACAGGGAAAAAATCGGTCGCAATTTTCCGTTCGGAAATTCGGAAAACGTTATTATCCTCGCGACCAACGTATCGAGTGCCGTCAAAATGCATCGAGATATCGCAATTACTCGCGTTATAGCGAGTCCCTTGTTCGCGATTGCGATTTCGCGCGGTACCTCTTCAACGAATCGCGTTAATCCGATTCGAACGAAGAAGTCCGCCTCGAATAAATCGGACCGCGTATCGCGCGACGACCGTTCAAATTTATTAACGGCTAAATCCACAGGGGACTCGTTAACGCTGTTCGCGGTTCGATGGCGAGCAGCCGAGTAGGAATAAAATATGGAATATCTTGCCCGACGATTTTGCCTCGATCGTTCGGTCTCTTTAGCCGAGCTATCCGATAATGAGCTATCGTATCGGCTTTCGGCCGAGAGAAAGAGCAGCAGGGGACCAACGATTAATCCTTTTTATCCGAGTACCGCGCCCTTGGCTGGAGAGAGTGGATGAACGGAAAGGAGGGCACAAAGGTGGCTGAAAAGAGAGCGGGTGGCGATGAAAAAGGGTGGAAAGGGTGGAGAGGGTGGATCGAAGAGCGGAAGCCTCGTGAAAAAATAATCGAAGGGATGCACAGCAGATGTGTACGCTGGACGTGGCTGTCGTCGGCCATTTTCTCTTCCGGGCCCTTTTCCCCTTTTCTCCGCGATTGCTATTTATTCCGCGTTTATTTCTTTCTTTATTTACCCGCGCATCCAGCTTGATTACGATCCCTGTTTCCCGACACGTTTAATCCTGATGCGAATACGGCGATCGAGTTTAATGGGCGATAATTTCACGCTCGAGTAAATTATAATGGCGAGAATTTGAGTGGCC